TCTGCTGTTCTGCTAATGAAAGTCAGATTCTAACAGATTTAGCTTTCATATTTGTATATTTTAGTTCCTTAAAACAAACTTAAATTACCCCTCATGAATGTTAGATTATAAAAAGAGTTTGTACCCCATTAAAAATGAGCATGCATCAGTCCATGGTATCTTTCCTTCAAAGGATGAGATAGAAAATTATAGGGAAAATGTTCTTGCTGAGACCCTAAAGAGCAAGACAGAAATCAGTCCCCCTCGACAGATAAGGAAACTTCATTTATCCTAGAGACACAGAAATGTGTGTGTGAGAGGAGCAGGAACTATGGTTGATAAGAGAATCTGTCAAGTTGACCCAGTATCTAGAATGCATGGATGTTTGAAGAACTCTGTAAAATGATCTAATTATAATAAGAACAAAAAAACTTCTCTGTGACAGATCATACCAATAGACTATCGAGTTCAGCCTTCTGTTCCCACATGGCCAACCATCCATGGGAAATTCACAAGAAGGGCATGAGTATAATAGCACCCTCCCACATATGTTCCCAGCCACTAGTATTCAGAGGTCTACTGTTTCTGGTACTGATAAGTCTTATCCTCTGTGACTGTGTCTAATCTATTTTTAAAGCCATGTAAGTTGACAGCCATCACTACATCTTGTAGTGAAGATGTGCTTCTTTTGATCTGTTCTGAATCTCCTAACATTTAGATCTGTTGGTTGATTCCAGATTCTAGTATTATAAGGGAGAAATTCTCCCTGTCTACAAATGCTTTCTCTTTACTATGTATAATTTTATATATCTTTTTCATACCCATCCTTATTTTTCTAATCTAAAACTCTCAAAATATTGTACACGTTCCATCTATGGGAATTATTTTTGCTACATGATAACTTTGGCTGTGTGTGTACACGTCTGTGTGTGTTTGTGTGTCTTCAAATCACCTGTTGACTTGTGGATACCCTCATGAATTTGCATGGGGTTTTCATAGCCAAGGAATACTCCAAGATTTGCTATTTGCTATTTCCTTCCATTGAAATATAGGATACAGCACCTGGTCTTCTTTAATGGTCCTCTATCCAAGTACAAACCAGGGCTGATCCTGCTTTGTTTCCAAGGTTAGATGGGATCTGGGGCCTTTAGTGTATTTAGGGATGAAGAAAATTTGCATATCTAGTTTTAAACTAAAGCAGGAAAATAAGCTCAAGGGCATGTTGGCACATCAAGGTAAGTCATGATTTGTATTAACTATATTGCTTATGCCTGAAATTCAATGGCAGTTGACCAAATTAACTGTGTTTTGCTATATTCTATTTTTTTGTTTCTGATCTGTATAGTTTCTATAAATTCTTTTTATGGTAGAAACCTGGGAAAACAAACCAGGAATATGCCATGGTTGTGGGTTCCGATAGCATGACAAGCCATGGTTTAAACCAGGGGTAGGCAACTTAAGGCCTCGGGGGGCTGGATGCGGCCCCCCGAGGCCTTTCGATTGGCCGCAGGTCGGTCCTCCCACCGCTGCCTGCTGCCCGCCATGATGATATTGATTATTGTTGTTATTACTTGTTCTTGGGGTTTTCTTGGCAAAATCTCTACAGGGGTTCTGCTATCATGGCTTTTCTGGGGCTGAGAGAGTGTGCATGTATATTTTATTATTATTATTATTTTAAAAAAACATTTTTATATTTATTTATTTATTTATTTATTTATTTGTGGTGGTTTGGCCCCCCCCCCAATTGTCTGAGGGACAGCAACCCGGCCCCTGGCTCAAAAAGGTTGCCTACCCCTGGCTTAAACAAACCAGTTTGACTCAACAATGAAATATGGATTTTGATTTTGGTCTGTGGCTAGTTAACAAATCATAAATGAGTTCACATATCACAACAAGTCAGATTTCAAGAAACTGCATGATGGCTTGTCATGATCTGCAAATGTCAGTGAGTTGTGGTTTGCTATCCAACCATTAATGGAACCTTTCTTATTGAGTTGGCACTGATACACAATTTTGATGAAGTAGTTTTGATACAATTGTTAAAAAGAAGCTTGCTGAGTGAAGAGACAGTTCAGAACATGATATTCATTTGCCCTTTCCAGTGCTAAACATTCAATCTCAACAAAGCATTATGAAAGGATCTGTTATTTACAAATGTCAGCACTATAAGCATCATCACAAATATTACCAAACAGAATGTATTTACTTATTTTTAAAAGTCCTCCTTTCTAAATGAAAAGCTAAATGGATGTAGAAGATTACAGTCTTTCCTGTGAAAATTGGAGGCATTATGGGAAGGAATCTATTGTTATTCTGCCTTTTTCTATGAACATGTCCTGTTGTCAAAGAAAGCCTTTTTATTTGCAAGTGCTTATCAGAATCTGGACATATATGCCTGGTAATATCTACCGTAAATTTCATTTTAAACCCTACCCACTGTCAAGAAAGTACATTCTGCCTAAGGGAATGCATGTCTTACAGATTTTTATTTTAATTTTGGCCTAGCCAAAGTGGTGCATACAGTCAAACTATAGACAGAGGACAAGTTAGCCAAATGTCTTATTCAGGCTTGGGTCACTACTTGGAATTAGAGGGTGACCAGGGCCATCAATACATTTTATCTCCAATGTCCTTGACCAAAATTAAGAATCGAGCCAGCTCCTTGATACTCTGATGAACTGGAGACTATGAAACAAATAGGTCAATAACCAGAAGGTAAGTGCTTGAAAACCTGTGGTGGATACAACTGCCCTGGTGAGAGGCCATCATGGGCATATTTTGTGGTGAAGATGGCAGTGAAGAAGTTTTATTTCTCTGCCATCATTCTACTTGCCAGCCAGAAGAGCTATTTTTGTAGTGAAGGGTCTGCTTAATATAAAGAATCCTGGTTAAACCGTGGTTAAATGCCTGTACTGCTGCTACAAGGTTGTGAGTTCAACTGCAGGGCTCCAAGGCTGACTCAGCCTTCCATCCTTTCATAAGATGATAAAATGAGTACGAAGCTTATTGGGGGCAATTGGCTTACAGATTGTAAATTTCTTCGAGAGTGCTGAGTTCACTGATAGGTGGTACTGAAATGTAAATGTTATTGATAAATGCTATTGCTTAATATAGATCTTGGGCCAAGAATGGTTATGGCTCACACTTTGCCCACCCCTTGCTGTACAATTGTCCCTCCATTTTCACGGACTTGAAGTCCGTGACCCTCACCTGTTTGCAGGTGGGAAATAGAGGGGTATAAAATGGGGTGCTTGACTGTTCCCATTCAAGCATACGGGGCTTGAATATTTGCGGTATTCCATTTTCGTATGGGGGGATCTGGAATGGCTCTCCTGAGAAAACAGAGGGGCAATTGTATAATATTGTAGCATAGTATAAGATGGAGAGTATGGGTAGGAGAGTATTTGAAGACAGAATGACAGGTGTAGAATATTGAGTGAAGTGAATTTGCAAATGTAATTGGTTAAGCAAGAAAGAGGAGAGGTGCTGTTGAAATAAAGTGAGCATGATGATGAGATAGATAGATTAGAATTTGGGAAGAAGACATTGAAGATCTGAATTCTGAAGTAGCCGATACACAGTGTGAGAGATGTTGCTATTATGTCTTTAAGGGGTTATATAGTAATAGAATAAATTAGTATACGAAAGCCAGCGGTGCGTAGTGGTTTGAGTGTTGGAGTATGACTTTGGAAACCAGGGTTCAATTCCCAGCTTGGCCATGAAACCCACTGAATGAATTTCAGGAAGTCACATGCTCTCAGTTTCAGAGGAAGACAATGGCAAACCTCCTCTGAACCTAGTTTTTCCAAGAATAATTTGTGATATGTTTGCCTTAGGGTTGCCATAAGTTGGAAATGACTTGAAGGCACACAACAACAACAACTAAAAATGTAATGGCAACTAAAGGTGTTTGTGTGCTTGAGAGTAACGAATGAAACAATGTCCACATAAAGTTGTAATAAATAAAATTATATTTGTGGTTTGTCATCATCATGCCTATTTCCTGGTCAAAAAATCTTCAGGTTTTCAAAAAATGTTTTCGCCTCTTAAAATTATCTGACATTTGGGGAGTTTCAATGGGGGCTGTATGGTTTATTACTATTGTTTGTTTGTTCATTTATATACCATTTCCCCCCCAGACTGGGACCCAAAGCAGCTTCCAAAAAGAACCAGCTAAAAAACCTTAACACTAAAGATTTTAAAAACAATGAAAAATCCAGAGAATGAACAATATAAAATCATTCCCACACTGACTTATATTATTTGGGTGCAATTGTTTATTCAAAAATTAACCTGTTGGTGAATTAAGATAAGCAACAGAGATTCCACTGACTCACACAACAGTAAGATGAGCACGGTTGATGGGCACTAGAATGAGGACCTTCTCAGTCTTAGGACGTTATCACATGGGGGAAATCTGCTGGTTAATCCACACAAATCCCAAACAGAAACTGGATTTGTGCCTCACGATTTCACACGACGTCGCATAGAAACTGGACAGAAACTGGTGTTATTTGAGATCTTTTGAAATTCAGTAGTTTTGAGGAAATGCATTTGCGAAATTACAGTAATTTCGCATTTACCGTAACGTGAAAAGCAAATGCACATTTGAGAGCATTTCCCTGCTTTTTCCCATGATTCCACGGCGAGCATTACTCTATCTGCGCATGTGCAAGAAGCTCATTTCTAGTACATTTACGGGCTTTTCTCACTTGTGTGTGAACGTTAAATGCGCTTACTGTAATTTTGCAATTAAGGTAATTACGTGTGAAAGCCATTTGAGGAATCAAGGTTTATTTTCGGTTTATTTTCGGAATGCCTCATTTCCACTTTATTATCGCTTTCTGGCCCACGTGTGATAATGTCCTTAGCCTATTTTTTTGTTATGGTTGTGTGCCTTCAAGTCATTTGATGGCCTTATCATGGGTTTTCTTGGCAAGAGTTATTCAGAGGAGGTTTGCCATTGCTTTCCCCTGAGGCTGAGAGGATGTGACTTGTCCAAGGTCACCAAGTGGGTTTCATGGCTGAGCTGGGAATCGAACCTTGGTCTCTAGAGTTGTAGTCCAGCACTCAGACCTCTAGACCATGCTGGCTCTCCCTTACCCTGTTGAATTCTCTTCTCTTCTTCTTCCATAGAGATTGGTATTACTATGGAAGTGATAGTCTTGCTGTGATAAGGGATATGGTTCCTTTTGTGGCTACTTTTAAAAATAGACTGTTTTTAAGGGTTTTTATTAACATGGTTTTATTGTATTTGCCACTCCGACACATTTGAAGTACGTATTTCTTTTTCACACACATATACAACTGTTTTATTTAAAAATTGCCCAAATGTAAGGTGGCTCTATCGTTTATGAGCACTGCTAAAATGTTTTAAACAAGTAAACAAACAGATAAACAAAAGACACTTCATTTTGTGCCTTTGCTTTCCTCAACTGTTCTAGTGATATTGTGTCTCAGTGAGATGGGGGGGGGAAACAGATTTTTGTTTATTTGAAAATATGGTTCATTCACTTTAACTGAAATATTTTAGAAGTGATGATAGGACCCAAGAAATATTTCATATGGATATTTTTTCTCATAATGTAAATTACAGAATAAGTGATTCAAAAGAATGAGATGGGTTGGGCTAGAGCAGCACAAGAATGATTAAATTACATTGTCAAATAAAAAAAAATGTTAAGTGCTGCTCTGTTCATTATATAATGGCAGCCACATGCAGCCCTCACACCTGTCTTTCATGTGTAAGACTGAAATGAGTTTCTGACCTTTTCATCATTTAGAGTTCCTAAACAGTGATCTGTTAGGAAAATGCGCAGCAGCTTTTGTTTTTTTCTAGTATTTCCCTTTAAGATGGGAAAAGCTCAATATGATCTACTTCCTCCTGTTACAGAGGGCCAGAACTGGAGTCTTCTCTAAGTCAGGGGCTGACATTTCTTGGGGCATGTCTTCATGAAAGGTTTAGTACAGCCCAATATGTAACAAGCAGTGGTCACAAAACTGAAATACCATTTTGAAATCTCCTTTCATTTGTACTAAAATATTGCAGTATGCACACTGATTCACTAGCATAGACCAGATGTATTGGTCCAGCTCAGCTCTGTTTCCTACCAAGCAGACATATCCTTAGTCCAAGTGTGAACAAATGCCATGGGGCATTTTTCAGGTTGACCAACTGGTCAAGAAGCACACTTTTTTGTTTTAGAGAAGCTGGGAGGAGAGTTAATGTTCTTAAGTTTAAAATACATAAAATGGCTAGGGATAAAATGTATTTTAAACTCATTCACAAATAAAATATCCTCACTCATGTCTCATTATTATACAGTCATCCCTTCCGATTCGTGGTGGATCCATTCTGGATCCCCCCCCCCCATGAATCGGAAAAAACACAAATATTGGAGCCCCATTGTTTTTAATGGCTACATGGCCCTGCATGTGGCTCCCCGTGTGTGCTGCAGGTGTACGTGCTATTTTGTTCTTCCTGGCTTCCCATACGCAGAAATTAAAAAATGCAAACGGGAAGTCAGCAAATCTGGAGGGATGACTGTAATTGTCTTTATACATAAATGAACCTTAAATGTACTTAAATGGCTTTTAATTAATATGATGCTATGTCTATGACTACTGATACCGAACTAAAAGGAACTGAGTTGACTATCATCCTTAGTTCCCTTGTACACTGACAACAGTACATTTTGCCATACTCTGTCTTTCCTTTGTTTCAACATATTTCCTAGCAGGGACACTCCTTCCACAGCCGTCACAGCAGAAATAATCCAGTTTGATACCACTTTAACTGCCATGGCTCAGTGCTATGGAACCCTCGGAGCTGTAGTTATTGGAGACATTTAGCCTTCTATTGGAGAACTCTGGTGCCACAATAAACTACAAATCCCAGAATTCCATAGCATTGAATCATGGCAATTAAAGTGATGTCAAACTGGATTATTTCTGCAATGCGTATATAGCATGAAATGTATGGAAACAATGCAAAAGCCTTTAAGTGGAGGTTATACAGATTTTCCTAAGTCATTTGTGGCTTTTGTTTGAAGATCAATTTTCTTTTTAAAAAACATTTTAACAATACCAAAGCTATTGTCTCTGCTTCCTCTTCTGGCCAGACATAAAACTGCTGGTCTTTTTAGAGTGTTTATTCTCATCTTCCCTTGACATCAGTCCTTTGGAGAGAATAGCTACAGCCATCCCAGCACTCAAGTGTACTTCCTGCTTTGCTTGGCAGAGGAACTAAAAAATAAAAATAAATTAATGGAAATTACATACTAAACAAGAAATATTTTCAGCTTATGAATCAAAAGACAGCCAATTATGTAATAGAGAACAAAAGCTATGTAGATGAGGGAGAATTAAATACAGGCTGCCTAGCCACACTTCCTTCTGCATCTGTGGATGTGTGGGTAAACTGGTTACCTGTAGCTTCTCTCTTCCAGTTGCTCGCATGGGGCCTTTGCCAAAATAAGTACATCCTGGATCAGACAACAACAACAACAACTCCATATGAAAAAAAAAAAGTCTATATCTGGGAATTCTTATTAAGGAATGAAACATGGCTGGTGTCCAAGACTGGCACAGATGTTACAAGAAAATAAATTACTCTTAATCCTCTTTTTGCAACAGACTGCCAGAAATAATACAGCTTGAAGCCACTTTAGCTGTCCTGGCTCAGTGCTTGGGAATAATGGAAACTGTAGTTTTTTTTTCTGAGGCATTGAGCCTTCTCTGTCAGAGAGCTCTGCTGCCACAATAAACTACAGTTCCCATGATTCCTTAGCACTGAGCCAGGATAGTTAAAGCGGCCTCAAGCTGCATTATTTCTGCCAGTATGTAAAGGCCCTATGATAGTTTTACTTCATTAAACTGCTCACCATTAATCATCATCATCATCATCATCATCATCATCATCATCATCAATTTTTATATCCTGAACTGGGATTCAAGGCAGCTTGCAAAAATATGACAATTAAAAACATGCAAAATAAAATAAAATAAAATAAAAATCAACATACAACCAAAATGAAACTATAACCATACAGGGTATATAACCATCTATGTACCCTATTTTTTTCCTCTAAAGTTACACAATACTGTTTAAAACAACGTTGTTGTTTTTAGCTGCCTTTGAGTCAACCTGGACCAGGGTAGGCAACCTTTCCCCTTTAAGGGCCGAGGGACTTCAGCTCCCAGAATCCCAGGAGTTATTGGCCAACATGGGACTATTGGCCAACATGGCTGAGGCTTCTGGGAGCTGAAGTCCCTTGGCCCTTAAAGGGGAAAGGTTGCCTACCCCTGAATGGCCACCCTGTGAATGAGATGTCTCCAAGCCCTGCTATTCTCTACCTCTCTGTTCAGGACCTGTAGGCCAAGACCCATGGTCTCCTTGATTGAGTATATCTATCTAGCATGCGGTCTTCCTCTTGTTATATTACCCTCTAGCTTTCTACATTGTTGTCTTTTCTAAAGACCCTACTCCTCTACTATCCTCTACCTTTCTACACTCATCCCTCCACATTCGCTAGGATTAGGGGCACGGGACCCCTGTCAATGTGGAAAAACTGCAAATAACAAAAAAAAACTTATGTTTTTACCTGAGAGAGCCCCTCTCTAGGAATCTCTAGGTCCTCCAGTGCAACTCTGTGGTCAACATCTGCCAGACATTGACCATAGAATTGCACTGGAGGAGCTACAAATGCCTAGTGGAGTGTTCTCTCTAAGAATCTCTAGGTCCTTCAGTGTGACTTTTGGTTAAAGTTGACCATAGAGTTGCGCTGGAGATCCTAGGTATTCCTAGAGAGAACATATTAATAAAATCCGTGAATAATCAAAGCCGCAAAAGTCAAAGCCGCAAATGTGGAGGGACGTGTGTACATTGTTGCATTTCTAAAGACTCTACTCCTCTACTACCCTCTACCTTTCTACATTGTGGTCTTTTCTAATAACCCCTGGCTTCTCATGATGTGGCCGAAGTATGACAGCCTCAATTTAGTAATCTTGGGGCTGGAGTAGATGAACAGGAAAAAACAACCTGATCCTGCTTTGAAACCCTGCTGTCCGCATGGCCGCTTCCAAGGTGGCAGAATATGCATGGCCTGACCACATGGCGCAGTGTCAAGCCATGCCACTTGGTAATTTTTTTGTTGCCTCCTCACCATGCATGCATACCATCGCACAAACATGCCACCTGCAACCTCAAAGTACCTCCTGCGGCCATTGCGTGGCTGCCCCTTTGATTGGCCCATACAGGGCATCGGTGCATCGATACATTAGTAAAGCACAATCATAGAAGCCCTCCATACATGCCCTGTTCATTCCATGCTCCTGTGTTAAACTGTCTGGTTTGTGTATGTTGTACAGTGGGCCCTTGGCATATGTGGGGGATCTGTTTTGGACCCCCCACACACATATGGGAAAAACGTGTATGCTTAAGGACCATTCAATGTTATGGCAGCGTGCTCAGAACTGCATACGGCAAGCCCATGTATGGCGCAGACGGACTATAATTGCATCCATTGGAGTTGTTGCGCTTTCATTTTTTTGCTTAGCCACAGCCCCGTTTATGCATTTATATGCAGGTGCAAAGATGGACATTTTCCGGGCTAAGTTGGAGTATCCTGGCTTCTTTTTGCTCCAGTTTTTAGCCCTGGAGCGCAGCTTCATTCTGGCTTCCAGCCACTTTGGAGGCATACATTATATAAACACCCTACCTTCAAAGTGTGGAAGCTTTATTTTGCCCATCTGTTACACTCCATGGCTTCCAGGGAGAGTTCAGGCTTGATTTGTTGTAGGATCCATTTGCAGTACTTATAGCCCTTTGTTAAAAGCTTTTCTGAATTAAAAACAAAACAAAACACCATTTGTCTGCCACAGGGAGGACAGTAAGGAAAGGGCCTTCTAACTAAAGTTTCAACAAGTAGGGGCAGCCACTGAGAAGGCCCTCTCTCATGTTCCCACCAGCCATACCTGTGAAGATGGTAGTACTGAGAGAATGGCCGCTCATGCGAATCTCAGGGGCCAGGCAGGGTCATAGTGGGAGATATGATCTGTCAGATAGCCTGGACCTAAGCTGTATAATGCATCT